ACTTTAGATGGAGTAAACTTTTTAGTTAAGGATTCTACAATAGGTGAAAATAGAATTCTGCTTTTTACAACTGTTACATACATACCTTTTAATAATAATAGTAACATCCTTGAAATAATTTTCATTTTCTGGTCAATTAATATATGCATAAATAAAACCGTTAATAATCATTAATAAAACTTTCTTTTCTTTTAACTTATATATATTAAATATTAATAACATACATCTCTTCCAGATTCTGCTAATGTTATTAATAAATAAATACTTTTAATTTAACCATTACACTTCTGAATATATATAAAAAATTATAGAAAATGGGTGAAAAAAAAATTAGTAATAGTATGTAGCTAATCTTTAAAAATATTAAAAAAACCAAATTAACTGACATTATTTCCATTTTATTAATAATAGCCATTCTTGAAAAGAGTCTGTTATGCAAATTTATTTTTGTTTGAAATTCTATTTCATCCAGCAATATATATATTAATATTATTAGGTAAAATTTTTATTATTATTAAGAAAATAATCTTTAAAAATAACTACCAATTAATAATCAGGATCTATTCCGCGGATTTGTTTAATATTAAAAAGCAAATTTAAAGTTAATATAAAAAAATTAAGCCCAAAGATTGAAATTGTGCATGTTATCCAATTTCTTAATTTATTATTATTATTATAGAATTTATAGAACTGGTAGTCCCAACTTCCATGTTAAGAATAATGCTTAGTGGTATTTGTTTACCCTGGCAAAAAATAATGGTTTTTTCATATACCTGTTTATTTTTTATAATCCAAGTAATAGTTTGATTAATCAAGCAAGTTTATGTGATCACCCCCTGCATATCCGTCAGTCCCCCGTAATAAATATCCCACAATCACGCGAAATTCAACTGAAGACTAGCGTTCTATAAAAAGAAAAAAAAATAATTTAATTCATTATTAAAATTCTGTCAATTATTAAAAAAAGCAAAAAGCAAGCATGCATAGAACAAAAAACCAGCAGACTCCGGATCCAATTGCACCACATTCTGAACGTTTAGTATTATACATGAATACACATCCAAACACGCTGTTAGGATATGCAAAATATTATGGTGGATATAGCAATGCAATTAGTGCTCGTATGACAGATATTAACTCTATTGGGTTTGTTATGTTGGTGAAGACTGACAACGATAAAGAATCAGAAGTTAATATTAGATATAAACATCAATTGGGGTCTTGTGACCAAGTTAGACCAATGTTAACTCAAATGGCAAATGAATGCGAAGAAGCTTTAGGACTGGTATGTTGAATTGATTGAATAGAATTAAAATGATCATGAAATTCTAAAATTTATAAATTTTGAATATTTTCTCTTTATATAGTCAAATACTAGACCACCTTTGCCAAATCATACACCATTCAATCCACCAAGCCCTTTGAGATGTTTCTCAGTATTATCATTGATTGGTTTAAATATTCTATTGGCATACTATCCAGGACCTTTGCCCAATTTTCTAGAATCTATTAGATCGTTTTTTGGTTATGATTTTATAAAACTGTTTGTTTACTTTACAATAGTTATTCATGCTATAGAAGCTCTCGTGGTTGCAATTATTTTATACATAAGAGGGGAACCAGATTTATCCACCAGTATTAAATGGGTATTGATGACAGCAATATTAGGGCATTTTTGGCAAATCTTTATACCAACAAAACGAAAAAACAATTGAAACCTTATATTTATTCATATAAATTTTAACTCTACAAATTATTTTGATAATATATTTTTATTAATAATATTTAGAAAAATAATAAATTTTAGAAAAATAATATAAACGATACATTATCTAATTTGTAATCAATCAATATTTTTACTTCATTGTTATCAGTTACATCATTTTTGAATCTTTATTTTATTATCTTATTACATAATTGTATGTTGTAATTATTATTTGGCTATTGCTAGATTATTATTGCTAATGTTGCTATGTTGCTATAATAATTAATAATTAGACAGCCAACAGTTCGCCATAGTTCTGTAAGAATACTACTGTAGCCACAAAAACAGTCACAGAAATAATAATTTCAAAGTTTCCTCGTCGTTTATCTGGTGCAAAAATTTCATTACGGAGGAAACGAGTAAAGAAATTTCCACCATTATTGCTTCCTCCTCTTGAGGATCTGGATGATTGAATAGATGGTCGAGGCATAAATTTATTCTAGTTATTATACTTTAAAAATTTAATTAATTTAAATTTGTTTTTTAATTTTAATGATTATGTTTTTATCCTTGTTTTTTGATTTTTATCAATAATATATTTGATCTTGAGAGAAAATATTTTTGGTCATCAAAAAAAATTTTTGTATCACATTTTTTCAAATGTTTTCTTTAGCATCAAGCAAACCAACGAAATTTGGTAAATTCTCCTTCGACAATGCTTCCTTCTCTACTCAATTCCTTCTTATCCTGTAATATTATTTAACATTAAATAAGAATTTAATAAATTTACTTGTAAAGCACTTCAATAAATCAAATGCAATTTTTGTCCATGAATATAAAGTGATCTAATCTAATACAGGAAGATAAAACTCGAGGGTGAAATTATTCAACATAAAAAGCAACCTTTGATTAAATAATTGCTTGAAATAAATCTGTCAAATTTGATCATTGAAATCATTTGAAATATGCCGATAAGTGAAAACCTAAAGAATAATGTCATATAATAATATTCATTGTATAATTGGAATCAAATATGATTATCTTTAACTCAAGGACATAAAAATATTTTGACTGAAAAGACTTTCTCCAAATAAGTATTCTTTGATTGTGTAAATATATAGAAATTTAAAGAATAGTAGTAGTAATACTGTGAATTTTCTCAGATTTGGGTTTCAAAGAAAAGTTCCTGAACTATGTTTAATACAATCCAAAGGAAGAAAAGCAATTTTTCTAAAAAGTTCCTTTCTCGGAAAATACAACTGATAACAACTAATGATGCACCAAAATCACTGATCAAATACAAGAACTGCAACAAGAAAACCAACAACTACAACTTCAAAATCAACAGTTAAAACAATGGTTGCAACGACTACAACAACAATTACAAAAGTAGCTTCAAAAATACAGCATGATGATGATTATGATGAGGATACTGTTATGATTGATGATGGTAATGGTCATGGTAATAATCAGAAGTAAATATAGTGCATTTAATCATGAATTATCATTAATTAATTATTGAAAAAATAATTACTTATTATCATTATTATAATGAGATCATAATTTATAGTATTTAAGCTCCCTGTGAGCCAGCTTGTGAACTTATTAAGTTATTTGGCATGCAAACTGGCTCATGTGGAGCTTTAGGTGCATGCAAGTTTTACAAATATCAACAATGATCAAGTTTGCAAAATACCAAGACTGACGTTTTATCATCTTTGATGATAATATTTTAATTAAAAGTTTAATTAATTAGTTTAGATTTTTCACAACTCTTAATTTAATTAATATATATAGAAATTATTTATATTTATCTTATGAATCAATTTTGTCTCTTACTTCCTTCTTTCAATACTGTAAAACTTCTAAGTTTCTTTAAAATGATTAAGTAATTTTAATATTTTATGTACAAAAAAATAAATTAAATATCTTTGACTATTATTAAAATATGTATAATTATATGTATAATTAGATAATATATATTCTAGAAAATTATTTTATAATATATTAGAAAGAATCAAGGCAAATAAAATTTTAATATTTATTAATATTGAAGATTACTACTAATACTAATACTATTATTATTATTGATTATTATTATGATTAATTTTATCTATAAATTATAATGATAATTAATATTAATGTTAGTAAAATATCAAGCTAAAGATATTCTACTAAACGTAAAAGCTTTTACTTTATCCTATATCTGAATTATGATCAGGCACTTTATTAAAGGAAGCAATAAAATTTTTTGATTAATGATTAGATGTTAGATAATAAAAATCCAATGTGTGGATCACATAATATTTCAAAAATTTTAACTTTTGAGTATAGATGATCCGCACTGTAGAAGCGAGAGATAACTCTCTTATTCTCCACATTCAGAGTGGATAAATTTACCAAATTTCACATGAAGTTGTGTCCCCTTGCGGGCCACAATTCAACGGGAAATTTGGCATTGTCCCCCACTTCATGGGGGATAACTACTATTTAAACCCCTTGTTACTATGTAGTAGTATTATATATGTTATTATTGTTGTCAGTGTTGTGCAATTTTGCTGTACAAACGTACAATGATTTTCTGTGGTGATAAAATATTATTTTGTAAAGTCCTATAATAATAACAATAATATTATGCCATCAGCCCTATTTATAATTAAATATAAAGGTCGTAACAGATTGTGACACTATTTCGTTATCAGAAAACCCTGATTATCATATTATACTTCTATTATCCTGTGTTGCATTATTATTATTAGTATTATTAGTATAATAGTATTAAATATCTTCAATCATATACAGTGTGTAGTTAATTCATAGTCAAACCTTGCCACAGCACATGAATGGCACACAAACAAATTTTATATGTTTTTACATGTGATATGCAAAGAATTTTTTTTAAAAATCCATTATGACAAGAGTTTGATTATTATTATAGTTCGCTGTGACAAGGTTTGACGAATTTAACACATATATATATTCCATTTTATCAACCAATAAAATTTATCAAAAATCACATGATATGTTTGTACAATGTATATATAGTTGGCTTGGTCTAAAGACCTCCTAAATTTTGGGCAAATTTTAAAAGTATAGAAGTCACTTTCTATCCTACCTTTTAAAAAAATAGCTCTATTAGTTGATAGAATCTGTCTTTAGTTTTAATGTAATAGAGAGATTTTCTCAAAAAAATTATTTGTTGTAGAGTTCTATTCTTTTTTAAAACATGTACTTTACTATGCTCGCGAGGAATTTGTCCACTATGATCATTTCTAAATTTAGGAAGATATTACTAAATTTAGACTAGCTCTTGACTATCGTATCTAAATTTGGCAGTAAGAAAACTAAAATCACGTGAAGTCCTATTTTTTGAAAAATTTTATTACATTTTTGAACCTAAAAAATTTAAGCCAACCCTGTTGATATATATTTTCAACTTTTCTTATTATTATGACAAATGGCCAAATTTTTATTAAAAGCAAATGTTAAGACCTCTTCATTCTATTTAGACATGTTAATGTAAGTAATTCCACTTTCTACATAAAATTTGCAATTCACTAAGGATACCAGCTGCAACTTTTGATGATGGTTACTGCCACCTTTGCATCATATAAAAATGATTACAACCACCTTTACAACCTTTTTTTTGGATTGCAACATGGAACACTATGATTCACCAAGTTTTTATTGATTCTAGGGCATTCCTAAAATCTAATGATATTTTATCATTTTTGTTTACTTCATACTCGTCATTATCATCATCTTCTTCATTCTCTTTGTTTGATATTCATGAAGCAATAATTCATTATTAACAGCATCATCTTTTTCTTCTAATCTATTTATATAAAATTTTATATTTGAGACAATGCCCTTTTTATAAAATTCCAAACAATGATTACATCTGTTGTTTTTTCTCTCCAAAACATCTATGATGATAAGCATGATTACATATTAACATTATACCTTATTTCAAATCTTTGATTACAATAGTCACAGCTATTATTAGATGGTGGTTTAGAACTATGATATCCAGCTGGTAAGCATTGTAATTTACATCCTCATTTAATGTTGTGAGATGATACTCATTCTTTTTAACCTTTCTACTTTTTCCCATATTTTGATAAATTAGATGAAAATAATAATTGATTAAAAATATTCTGGCTTTATATTTTAAATAATCTATGGTGAATTCTTTCTTTCCAATAAGTGCCTGGAATTTGTGAGGATGATCAGCAATCCCTTTGTTGTGCTGGATGCTTATTGGACAGGAGAGCAAGTACAAGAATCTGATCTACATTCGGAATTGTGCATTGAACAGGAGAGACCATTCTGGGAACACAAAAATTAACAGGAGGGAACACAAAATTTTAACCCATGCTATTTGTTGATTGACCAATTAAAAATCGCGAATTTGATAAATGTAGAAATAAATATTAATATGGGTTTGATTCATTTTCTCAATAATCACTTCACCAACAATTGTTTCATTAATGAATTTAAGAAGTTGGAGGCAACCATTGAAATAGTCTAATAAATTAAATTGTACTACTCGAAAATGGATTTAAAGGGTTGGTTTTTGACTTGGTCAAAGAATAACTCTCTTCCTAACTCTTCTCTTGACCATATCTCTCGATATAATCAAAATGACCTTAATATAATGAATGTCAATGAAATGATTGTAAACACAACAAATTTAAGATACATGATTGTGATGAAAAATGAACAATGTATGAAAA